AGCCCCAGCTGTCATGACTGCTGTGCCAGTGGCACCCAAGCCCACCTCTGCAACTGGCATGGCCTCTGCTGTGTGCTGGGTACTCTGGATTCTGTAATGCTTAACTTTTTAAGGTACTTTTTAAGAACACTTTCCAGAATTAGAGTTTGTAAAGTATACCTCAGCGTCTTTTCTCATTTGCCTTTTGATACCAAAGGGAATTCATTAGTATCAGCATGAGTGTAAGCACTGCAGGAAGCAGAAAAAAGTATATGAACTTTCTTGAGTCTGTTCAGCTCCCAGAGAGTTCTCATCAGACTTCATTCAAATGTCATCCTTGGTTTGTTCCTTTCAGAAACCTACTGTTCCTGTATGTTTAAAATGATCCTGTGGATGTACTGTTCATCTGAGCTAATTAAAGCCTGTAGATTAATAGCACACTTTGCTCCTTTTTCTATCTACAAATGCTGGAGATGCTGTTTGTGCAAAGATGTATGGTATATTTTGCGGTTAAACTATGACAGCTTTATATACAATAGAAGTAATGTATCTGAGAGGATACTGTTTATTGCAGAACTAATTTTAAGTGTTCTTTTTTATTTTGATGTTTCAATAATAACCTAATAATAACCTAATTTTAATCCCAGGAAGGAGGAATAGATAACACTTGCATCTTTTAAAATAGCTTCACTGTTATACTAAAGTTAATATTAAATAAGTTAACGTTATAATTTGATTTATTAACTCTTTCAAGTATTTTTTTGGCCAGCTCCTGATAAAACTTTTTAAATTAAAATATTTTGTCATAATATTTGAAGAATGATGATTAGGAATTTATTCTATATCAGTCTTTTGAATCTATAGTGATTTGCTAACTAAATCTATGGCTTTGAAAAATTTGCTTTTTAGTCCGTGTAATGGACTACAAAGCAAACAAAACAATGGAGAAATCTAATCAGGACCATGTCACTCTATGACCTATTCTCATTTTTTACTGTTATTACTACATTCATAACATATTAAAAATTGCAAGAATTTGGAAGGAAATACATGAAAAGCTATTTTCACAGCCAAATCTAGAATTATGCAGAGCCACATGTCTGTTGAGATTTTAAAACAGTGGTTTTTAATTTTTCTTGTCTTTTGGTATTGGTTCATCTGTTATTTTTTATTGTTGTCTACAATATGCCTTCTTAACTGGAACCCCTTTTGAAATCACAAGTGCTATTCTCTGCTTGAATCAGCGAAGGCTGCTCCCATAGTGTGCATTAAGACCCTGTTGGAATGAAATGTCTGCATGGCAAACGAGATTTATAGACAGATGGATAAGACAGGCAAATAGATGAATTAGATAGAGATCCAGTCCCAGCTGACATTTGTTGAATCAATATTAAAATAGCTGTGTTAAACCACAAGGCTTTAACATGGGGTATATTGACAGCAGTTAATGAGTGGAGAACAAGAACAAGCTTCTTCCAAAGCAAGATAATGGGACAGCTTTTTCATTTATGATCTCAGTAAGCCAAAGGCATAATGCAAAGACAATTCCATCACTCCTAACGCTCAGAGGAACTCCTGTAATTAGCACAGACCATCCCCATCCCCTGGCTGGAAGGAAAGGGAAGGGGGTGCTGAAAGATGCGTCTTGAGACAGGTTGAGCTGCTTAGCAGTAGCTGTTGGAGCGGTATTCTTTGTAACAACCCTCATACTACTACTAGCCCTCACATATTTTGGGCTGTGTGTCACTTAATCAGAAACTGATGCCCCTACCTCAATGTTATTCATTGCATTAAGGTCTTGAGTATCTGCACAACTGTGGTCCTTTCACAATATTACAAAAAGCTGTAGCAAATTCTAATCCTTGGGACTGTTGGCTCAACCCTGTTGCACTCAAGGGACACTTTAGTTTTTGTGCAAGGAGGAGCTGCAGCATACCTTCCCATGTCAACCCTCGCACGTCCATTGTAATACAAAACTCAGGTAGGAAAGCATTGCCTGAGAAGTGATCTCACTAAGGTAGGCAGAACCTGCCATGAGAAATAATGGGATCAGTGGTCATGCTAAGATAAAACAACCAGCTAAAGGGCAGGAGAAGAAGCAGTACGTGTCTGAACATGACTTTAAACCACTACCAGTGCTTCTGCATTGACCATAAGCCTGTGAGGAGGTGTTCCATCAACAAAGATTCAAACCTGGCATATCACATTTTTCTAGGGTTAAAACAGACAAACAAACAAAACAAAACAAAACCCAAACTACTGAGAAGCCATGGGTCTTAAGGACCAGCTCTTGGATAGGGAGATTTACAAACAAAATTTTTATCTATCACTTCTGTCACACAAATCCAACACTGGTCAAATGATTCCCTGCTTTCCCATTTCTTATGAATGCAAACTAGTTTTTAAGAAAGCAGAGGCACACTGCTATTTAGATACTTTGAAAACACCTGGTGGTGACCAGAACACTCTGTGTCACTTAGCTTACAGCTGGATTAATTCTCAGAAAAAATATTATCTTCCATAGCTATTGTTGGACCCCTGAGGAGCTGGTAGAAGTGAGGAATATTATAATTAAATTGCCTCCTGTGTTATCATCTGGCTGTGCCTTCCAAAAGAAACAAGTGTCTTCAGTCCCCTGTTTTGTGTGAGTGATGAGGCTGAAAGTTTCTTGGTCTGGGCTTAAGCCTTCAGTGGTGTGGAAATCAGTCCTGCCATGTATTGTAGCATCAGTGTAGTCTTGATATATCCATCCTTATGCAGAGCCAGGAAATAGGTCTGGATGAGAAAAAGCAAAAGGCAGATCAGCTCACCCTATGTACAACTATCACAGTGGAGATGTGGATCTCTGAGGCCAGATTGTTTTGAATAGCCAAGCCTGGAATGGATGTGTATTAAGACCAAGGTATGAGCACTATCAACAGCTGCCAGGTTTGAGACTCCTCTCCCTTACACAGCTTGGAGGTGGTTGGTTTGGGAGAGGCTGGGGCCTCCACATTCAGCTGTTCTCAATATTTATCAACTGCTACTTCAGTGGTGTATTGATATTGCTGCAACAGGGGCTCATCACCAGCTTCTCTTGCTTTGTGGAATGCTGGGATCCTACCAGACTTCTCATACCTGGTTTCACTCTACCAGGGTAGAACTGATATAGGGAGGCTCTTGAAAATCTTCACTTTGCTTATAATGTCAGGCTTGGCCCTTGTATTGCCTCCAAGAAGTTCAAACTACTGCAGGCTGTGTAAACTCTGCACTTCTGCGCAGCAGATTAAATAGAAAGGTATTTTGACAAGATGCGAGAAAATGTTGAACTGCTGGTGACTTTGTCCAAGTGGCTTACTTGGGGCTTCATCTAGTCAAGAAGAAATACCAAGTGGAAATTCCAGAAGAAAGGGCATGAACTTCCTTTTTTGAGGCATCTTGAGTACGCAACAACTCCCTCACACTATTTTTTGACCTATTTAATTCTGAGGAAACTCTAGAGACCATGCTATCAAATGAAGTAGAGCACATAGAGCCAATGAGAAATCCTAGTACAATGGGGCAGCACACTGCCCAGTGCAGGCAACATTTTAGAGGTGCGTGTCTTCTTACAGTCACAATTTCTTAACTGTGGCGTCATGGAGCAGCCAGCTGCCTCAGGAGGTGATAATGCTTAAATGGTGAGATAGGTAGGAAAGCTTGTCATACAGTCATGGTGACTGGGGAGACTCTAAATCTAAAATCTCATGTTTGTCACCATCTCTTCTAATTTATCTTTCAATGGAGGGTTTTAACAACATGAGAAGTAATTTGAAGTAAATACGGAGGTTTTCTCCATCTGCTTATATTTTGAATCCACAGTTGGTCAAGCCTAGCACAGTGAATTTGCAATTGGTTTTAATCTCTGCTATGTACAATACAAGATATTTAGACCCCTGGGGAGCTTTACAGGTGGAGGCAGTGAAATTGCCATAGCACGGATCCCCAGATCCCACTGTACCCCTGCAGGGCACCAGCGGCAGGACAAACCCCAAAGCTTCCAGAGTGTTGTCTAGCAATGAAGACAGGAGCAGATGGAAAGCCCTGGGTTGGGGAAGATGTGCAGGGAAAGGGGCTGCTGTGGGGTATAGGGGCAGGGCAGGACACCAGCAGGAGATCTGCCACCACCATTGCTGCTGAAGCACTCACTATCGTCACCATTTATAAATTCTCTGCAGTTATACCCGAAGTAATCCTGACCTGAAAAAGAAGAATATTTTTCTTTCCTTAGTTGAATGTCCCATTAAATTAATCATAAAGACAGGTTTATCCTAATGAATACTGGCCCATAGTTCTGTCAGAGAAACTATAAGGGTTTATGCAAAGGCATATACTTAAGATCACCTTATGAAAACACTTAAATTGCATTTTCAGCTAGTGTTAACCTTCCAAAATTTAAAAAACTGATGATGTTTGAGAAATTTGGTGTTTTTCTGGCAGGGACACAGCTAAATGCTTTTATTCAGAAGGAAGCAAAGTTTGTCAGAATATACTGCGTGTTTATACAACAGTCAGGCCTGTTCAGATGACACATCTGTTTTTTCAGACACTGGCAGAAATGCCATTGTAAAAGCAATATTTTGTTCCCAGAATCACTACAAAATGAAAAGAAAAAAACCAAAGCAAACAAAAACACAACTAAGCTAGTCACTGTCTCCACCTGGAGGCAAAAGGCTGTCTGAAATAACCAGTTTGTCCCATGAAGAAGAGACCATGTAGACAACATGGAATTCAAAATATTTGCCAAAAGCCCCCAAAAAGCCAGGTATTGCCAGCTTCAGGTGTAGTCTCAGGGCTTGTTTTTTTCTTGCCTGAAACTTGAATGTAAGAAAAGCACTACTGCTATTTAAATAACAAGTGTTACCTTCTAATTGCTTTGAAATATCTCAGGTTTTCAAAGATTGTAGTAGGAATACAGTATCTGTACTCCTCAAGAAGTTGTTTTCCTTGTTGATCTTCCTCTATTTGTTTCCTCAACAGTTTCTTTTTCCTATCCTTTTTAGTCCATGGGATCATGCAAGAGTTCTTCATCACTTCACATCAGATCACAGCCTGAAGTGAGTTTCAGCTGGGGCTGCCAGGAGCATCTGCCAAGTGACTGCTTACTGATACTGTCGACCAAAAGTCCCCATCAAAAAAGAGCATCACTAAGTTCACAAATTAATGTCAAATGCTCATTTGACACCAGATCAAAAAAGGGTGACTGGGGTCTTGTTTGATCTCTCAGAAGAGGTCCAGTATGGGAAGAGAGAGACCCCTGCTCAGTCACTCAGAACAGCAATCGCTGAAGAGAACCAGGTGAAATACAATGTGCCTAAATTCCCAACCTGACAACCATGAAATACATACTCCTGCAAGTCAGAAGTGTGACCCAAGCCTCTCTGATACTGCTGGGCAGTCCAGATGGTGAGGCAGAGCCCTTCCATGAGCCATGAACATTCTGGGCACAGCCAATAAATTCAGTAGAGAGTTAGATCAGTACTTGGGTGAACTGGAGCTTTTCTGGGAACAGCTTAGAAAAAGATTAATCTGATTCTCAGTCAGGAAGACATGCTGTCCCTAAGGAGTTGTCACATGCTGCAGTGCTTTCTATGCCCTCTCAGAGGCCCCGAGGACCTCAGCAGCAGGCTCAGGGAAGACAGCGGATTCTCAAATGCAATATGAAACTTGCCTTGGTTTGTTTATTATCCCTGTGCTATCTAGGAGGTGATTTGTCTTCCATTTGCCTTGGTTGAACATTACAGGGAGGAAGCTGGGAAGACAATGGAGCACAATGGAGACAGGTGTTACAATTTTTTCTCTCTCAGGAGGAATTCTACTGTGCCAAAATGTCTGAAACGAGTGAATTTTAGCCAGCAGTTTCAGAGAAAAAAAACCACAATGACAGAGTTTGTCATACTGGTTTTGTAATGCTAAGAGTCAGGGAGGGTTGGTCATACCTCTGGAGGAACAGCTGTGCAAACAAGAGGCTTGGTCTCTTGGAGGTGCACTGGTGTGCATTGCCTGGGTAGCCTGGAAGTGCAGCAGGAAGGACTCCAGTGTGCCACAGCCTGGGATGTAGCTCTCTACACAGCCCCAGTCTATGGTCAAAAAGTGAGCCTTGGTCATCCTCTACCTGCCAGTCACTTAACCACACCTCAGATTCCTACTCTACATGGGTGCATCTCAGCCATGCAGAGTGCATCAGAGCCATGCACCTCTTTCAGCCCCACTGAGAGGCTGGGATGGGGCTTCCAGGGCTGTGAACTCTGGTTGTGCAAGCTTCCATGGACATCATCTAGATGTCTCCACTGTCAATTGGAGATGAAAATTTGAACAGAGGTGAGATGAAGCCAAGTTAGTATCTCAAAAAATCCCTGCAACAGGAAGGAACTTATCTGTATACTCAGCACCATCTCAGAGGGTTAGCAGGCTGGACATGGACATGCTGACCCAGAAGTTTCACCATGTGGGTATTCCACTGATGTCATGAAGATATCTGAGTATCTGAGTATAGTATCTGAGTAGTACATTCAGCATTTCAGTGTGAAGAAAGCTCAGGTTCATTTTGGTCTTTGTGGTTCCCAGGGTGTAATGTGATGAGTGTTATGCCAAAGGATGCTCAATGTGATGAATATTTGAATAAGAGTTACACTTTGAAATGGTTGTGTAGTGAATTCCCTCCCATCTGCAAGAATTGCTCCAGGAGAAGGAAAAGTTCAGTGTTTAATAAGTGTCAGAGCACAGCTGCCTAATGAGCTCTGTGCTGCCTTTTGGACATCATGTTACATGTGTGTCCAGCCGTGGCTGCCACACGCAGACACCCCCAACAGTGCTGCCCCAAGGTAGTGCCCACACCTAGCCTCTGTCCAGACCAGGAGCTGCTGGAGCTTCAAACTGTTGTAGCTGGTCTGTATGCATGCAAGGCAGTAAAACTTACATCAGTGGCAAACACCCCATCACTTGTAAATGAAGCAGGACAGTACTTGGATGACAGTCCTCCAAGGGTGACATACATGCTGCAACTTGTGATGGCACTGGCTGACTAAACAAAGTCTGCTTTAAAAGAACATAGCTGGAGTGTGCTACAAGCAGTGCTGGTTTTGACATGAGGCAATAAAGAGAAGTCCTCATTGCTTACTGCTATTCCCATTTCAGGAGTGCCTTTGTGTAGGAGTGAGTGTCTAGTAAGTCTTCTGCATCAGGATGCTAGCTTGGATTTGCTGGATGGATTCCAATTCAGACAGTTACCATCTATCTCTGCAAATTTTCCATGCTGTTTAGGTTGGCTACAGAATGATTTTTCATTTCATGTTCAAATCTGACTTTAATAGTTACTTCATACACTTGAACAATTCCTGTATTTCACACTCAGTGGTGGGTGGAAGGATGTTAAGTAGCATATACTTGGACCCACTTCAGTGGAAGCTATTACCGTCACTACTAGGGTTGCAATGATGAATAAATCCATTCTGAAGGGAGCAAACCAGCAAAACTGGAGAATATTTCATTGTAAAACCTACTGTAGGGCTTAGAGTACCCTACTCAATATACCAGCAGCTCGTGACAGAAATCTATAGTAACTCCAACAGTGTACTAAGTGTTTAGTTCTTGAAATGGTTATTTGTGCTTATGTTAACCTTAGAAAATTATATCTCTCTTCACTGAAAACAACAGTCTCTGCAACAGTGGCCAAACTCCATCCTAGATGCCTGCAGATTTACTGTCACCCTAACAGGATTGACTCTTTCTTGGCTAGTCAAGTTCCCTCATTTCCCAAGTAAACTTTTTTCTTCTCTTATATTCCAGTTGTTGAAATTGTTTTGTCACCCTCTGCTGAAAACTACATTTATCCTTTTCCTCCCACTTTTCACAACCCTCAGGATTATCAGCTCAGCAATGTGCAATGTAGATTCTTGGGATCTGATGTCATCTTGCTTAGCATATGTTACACACTCAAATAAGCTGTTTTGATGAATAATGTACCATATGTATACCTCCCAGGTTCTCCCAGCATTGTGAAGATTTATCAGTCCTCTAATTGTGAATCACTTAAACCAGGATTTTGTTATGTAGGGTTTCCAAGTCTGGTGTTACCAACGGAAGTAAAATCCTCATCTCACCCTCTCTTCTCTGCTCTGCATATCAAACCCCAAAAACGTTCTGAGAAAAGCCTACACTTTTGAAGACCTAATCTTTTGAAGATACTGTGGGGATGCTGTGTGCCAGAGTCTGAGATGCTGCAGACCATGATCTCAAGCCTGGGATAAAGACAGTGATCCAGACTGTCCAGACCAGGCAGAGTGGTACCACAATGTTATTGCTGTAGCTGCAGGCCATGCCCAGGCCTTGGGTACTCTTTGAAAAATAGAGTTCCCCAGCAGGGAATGACAGAGAGGTCATGGCACTGCTCATGCCAAGCCAGACACACACTGGAGCAGAGCCTTCTGAAGGAGCTGTATAACAGGCAGACCCAGGATACTTTCAGGGGCAAGGGGCTGCAAGTGGTGCCACAATGAACCATGTTCATGCTCAGATTGTGCCTTTCATTTTAAATGATGAGGTCTCAAAAAAATTCCATTTTCTGAGAAACTTCTGTAATGTCCTTTCTTGAAAGAATACAATAATTGGTCCACATAAAGCAGAGCTCTGTAACTGGTGCTCATGGACAGAAGCTTTGGGTCTAATGAACCATGTTATTTTTTAGCTTTATTACTTTCTGCATGTATGTTACTGGCATCATGTGTTTAAGTGACTCAAATTTAAAGACTTTCAAGCTGTTAGAGGGAACTGGAGTCTGACCACCATTGTGAAATCTGACTTACGGTTAGCAGTACATTCTGTATTCCTGGATCCCATTTGCACCCTGGGAAAACACCAGGAGCAGATGGATTACTGTCCAAATTTTACAAGCAGTTCAAAGAGGACTAGGCACCCTGCCTGCTGCAAACATTTATAGCATAATCAGCTCCTGCTAGCCACAGCAAACTGCGTCAATTAAGTTAGCAGTAAGTACCGGGAGAAAAGCCTAAGGCATTACAGTTTTATGAACATACTACATTGTCTTGCACAGTGTTTAAGATTACAGCTAAAGAGCTGACACAGATGAGAGTTTCATGTTTAGAGCAGAGACTTTAACATTCATGTTAGGTTATTCATCAGTACCAGTGGCTAGCAAAATAAATCATTAGTCTCATTTTACCTTGAAGGTGTGAAAAGCTCTCAAAATTGTTTTTTGGTGAGAAGTACGCTATCTGGAGTGCATTTTTTTGTTGATGCTGATCCCTTAACACAGAGGCAAAAGTAATGGGAAGGTTTTACTTGCTCAATGGTCCTTGGGCAATTGAAAAGGTATCTTTTCAATGGTGGTCTTCCTTTTGTCCAACAAGAGTTAAACATTACTGCTCTTTCTTTCTTTCTTTGAGCAAGACAGTGTGAGAGAGATTCTGGTGAAGATTCTCAAAGCCCAAATTGATACAGAAAATTAAAACCTCATCTTCTATAACTACATCTGAAGTGCAAATCAACAAGAAGGTGTGTCTTTGTTTTATGATTTCTATGTATGTTTGATTTATAGCTGTATTTTTTAAGTTCATCAAGAGCTATGTTTCAGCAGACATCAGCAATCAACAGAATATGCAGTCTAATAGTTTTCTTTCTTGCTTATTTAAAGTGAAAAGTCTAATGAGTGCAGCACACTCTTTCTTGGAGGTGAAATATTTCCATAGCTTCCTCTTGATATCTGAAAAAATGAAAAGCTGTTACAATCAGCTTAATTACTCAGTTAATAGCTCAAACAGATCTGTTCAGAAAGCACTACAACTCATGAAGTATAAGGAATAGTTTCTGTTCCATTAGTCTGTAGGAATAGTGGCTTGGAGGAAAAGATTTCATGTCTAATAAAGGCTATTAGCAAAGAGCATCCATGCTATAAATCAAATTTTAAAATTGGGATTTGGAGACAAGTAATGTAATGTGCTCTACGTTGCAAACAGGCTTTGTTACACAACATTTACACTGCATTTTTAAACTAAGTCTCAGGTATTAGTAGCTATAAAATGTCCTCTGGTTATCTATAGGGTTACAGATTCAATAACAAAAAAGTATTTTTTCAGAGTCAGTATTGAAACACAGTGACGCTCAGTTTTACTTTGAGGACACAAAACTCAGGACTTGATCAGTTGGCTGCATTTACATGTAATATATATTAGTTTAATATGTATTGAATTTTAATATGACAAAGAACTTGACTTCTGGAATCTGAAGAGAATTGAAGTGCATTTGCTGCTTGTACTGTGACAGCCAGCATTTCATTTCCTGGAAGAATCTGCAATCACTCTGTTCAAGGTCTGCTGAGAATTGAGACTAATTGTGGTGACAAGGCATCACCAAGTTTGGCACTTCCACAGCAACTAAAGTTTTGTTCTTTTTTCCAGAGACCTAAAGACTTTAAAATACCTTTTGGAAAAGCCCACAGCTCTGTCTCATATATTTGACTCCTCAGGAAGATGATTTTCAGTGAAGAAAGAAGTTTGGGAAGGAAGGAAAACAAAATTCATTCTTGCCTTAACCCAGCTAATGTTGTACAAAGAAATTCAAAGGGTGAGTATTGAATAATTAGGAAGGAACAAGATAAAAAGCTTCTATCAAGAAATAATCAAGAAATTTTTTTAAATTTTTTTTTACTGTATCATTTTGTCAAAAGCCCCAGAATATTCTCACTCTTAAATGTTCTGGGGCAAAAAAATTACTAGTTCTCATCAAAAAGAGAACACATGATTTAGAATGTCAACCTGCTTGCTCTTTTGAGGAATAAACCAAAATTTTGCTTTTCTTTCCGGTACTCTGAATACCTTTGTCTTGTACTGAAGTATTTGTAAAAGGATGCACTTTTAGCATGAGGTGCTATAGAATGCCTTGGGAAAATCGGCCAGGGGGATTACAGACCGCTCTAAGTGATGAATACACTAACAGATTCCCATGAAGGATCCCTTCTTTACACTCCTGGATATGTTGCTTGCTGCTGCAAGTCTTTCTTTGGCTCCAGCTCCTAGTACAGTACCTTTCCTCAGCTCTTTTCTTGTGACTTCTGAGGAGTAGTACCGTGAGCTGTAAAAACTCCTTTGCTTTCACTTTTGATAGATGGATAAAGTGATCCCATCAGCACCTGGGGTCTCCAAGGGCACCTTGGGGGTCAGCCTCAAGAGGTGATACAGCTACACATCAGGCTGGGGTATATCTGACCACTAAAGACTCTTTGTCTTGTTTCAGTGTACAAGTGCATGAGTGAGGAGATATTAAAACACAGTAAGAAACAATTTAGGTAAATCCTAAATGCATACTGGTTTTTAAAGAACAGTATTTCAAGCTTCAGGGTTCCAAAAATAATGTTTAATAACAAAATAATATATAATAATAATTTGAAAATAATCCTTTTAATAAAGCTTTCCTGAAGATTTGCCCCTGATCAGTAATTTTTTTCTGTGAGTTTACCAAAGAAATGCATACATGTCTTTGCTGAAATACTTAGTTCACTTCATTCATATGGCACAGGAGATCCTAGGAACACATCCCATTTTCCTTCCAAAAAGCAACGTCCTTCCAACATCCACACCAAGCACTGTGGATGTACCTGAAGTTACCAATAAATTTCTTGCAGAATTCATCTAGCAAATAATTGGGAAGGTCCTGAAAAACTATGAAGAGCAGAGGAGCACAAGCAATATACGTGCTTGTGTCACATCAAGCCATGTCATCTGTTCAGTGCTGGCGTTTGACCTGTGAAAGCATTGGAGGTTTCTGCAAAAATGCATCAGAATAAACTGATTTTGTAAAAATGTGGCAGAGGGAAAAGTGGGAGCACATTAATAAATCTGCTATCAAATGTAGTCAGAAGAAATAACTAGCCAATCTAAATTCACTTGAATCAACTTTAAATTACTGTGTAGCAGTCCTCTCCAGAGTGCGTCAGCTTCATATGAAGAATTTCCTAACGTTTTTGTAGTGATTATCTCCAATAAAGTTTCAGGAAGCTATCTGGTAAAATCTACAACTAAAGAAAGTGTTACTAAAGCTGAAAACACACAGAACAGTTATTAAAACCTCAGGCCACACTAAACTGACTGAAAAATAATGAAAAAGATATCATTATTATTCAGAACTAGCAGCTAATTGCTAAATGAAAATCAGATGGTTTACATACTATGGTAATTTCTGACAGCATAGCCTATTCTATTTTGTTCATATGGCCTTTGGAAGAAAAGTGGTCTGGTTTTGTTCTGTACTGGCCCATTTATGGCAATATGCTATTTCAATAATAGCTCTAGCAGATCAGCAGATGCAGTGAAGCTATGCAGGCTTTAAGGCGGTTGAAAACCCTTCAAATAGCGTGACAATTCGGGGAGCAGATGTCATTCTGGCACTTACTCTTTCTTACTCCAAGAATACAATTTGTGATTCAGGAACTGAGATATTTCCTCTATGACAGTGACCAATTTTCTTAATGGTGAACAAAGAACCTCTCAAAACTGATTTTTCTTTATGTCAGACTTTGCCAGGCACAAGAAAAGAACAGAATACAAGAATTCTGTCCACCAGAAGAGTGAATTAAAGACTCGAGAGTGGAAAATGCAGTGTTATGCAGATGAGGGCAGGTCTCTTCTACCAACATGTGCCCTTACTGAGAAGGAGGTAAGGAAGCCTTCCTTTACTCTGCCAGATAAAACAGCAGCAACCTCATGCTCTGCAAAGATTTTCCAGACTACAAACCATTTTAGGAACTTGGTGAGTACTTTTACCAGCTCTGAAAACCAGCCCCTTGTATTTCTCAAGAACACCCACCTCTCCGGCAACAGGATGAGTCAGACAGCATCCAGGAGCTTCATTCCAGGAATCTGGCCCACTCAGAAACCCAGAAAAGAAGCACAGAGAACTGACATTTTCTTGATAAAAGGGAAAGCACAGTGAGCAAACACTCTGGACAAAGTCTACCCTGAACATTGAACAAAAGGCCCTAAAATTGCCATGGGCTTCTCGTCAACTGTTTGCCTTAATGAACTATACAGATTAGTAAAAGAGACATCTGCTCCCACTTTTCTATTACTAATATCACAGCTTCCCTCATTTAAACTGTGCATCAGGTTTGTTTCTGAGTCAATCCTTGTCACAACTATGGGTTAATTTCTGATGTCCCAAGACAGGGCATCCATATTTATTTGTCTTAGTACCAACCAGATATTAAATCCCAGGGCAAAAGCTGTAAAAACAGGAATGGTAACATCTTAACATCTGTTGGAACTTCCCAAACTAAACATGGTGAGCAATTATATGGACAGCTGGCAGCTTCAGGTTCAGTCTTCCTCCATCTGGTGGGACTGGAGGAGAGAAAACTGGAACAATGCCAGGGTCAAGATGCCCTAACGTAAGTGAGGAGCCTTCTACACCAAACCAACGTAAGCATGACCTGAGGCTGACACAAGAGAAAGCTGAGCTGGTAATTTGAGGAGAAATGTGGGTAGTGACCACTGTCTTTCACTGGGGGACTGCCATTTCAACTATCCTAGTTCTCTTTGGAGTCTCTGGTGGGAATTGATGTCCACTGATCAGGGCTGCAAGCAGCACAGAGCCCTTGGGGATTTCTGTCATGCCCATTGCTGGAGGCAGTATCTAGCTGATAGTATGCCTCCCACAAAATATGCTTCAGGGAAAAAAAAAAGTATTCTGCCTCCTTCAGTCCTTTTGAGCATGTCACTCCGTTGCTATGTTCTCTGCACTGGGTGCCACCGATTGCCAACACCATTTCAACACTTCGTCTTCCCTCTGTAAAGACAGCTACCTGGCTCAGCTAAATTAAGGACACCAGATAAACAGAATAATCCTTGCGTGCAAGCTAAGAAAGCAAACGGAACAGGTGGGAAACTGCTTTCTTACTCCAAGGAAGCCAAGGGGATTTCTGAGATTTTCATATCCTGCACCAAGGAAACAGGACCTTTCAGGGATTTTTGTGAAAAATAAGGTACTTCTGCCCACTGCAGAGAAGCTACTAATCCATTGGCTCAGACACTTGCCAAGAGCTGTGGAGCAGCCAAAATGAGTTATCACTTTCCTTAATTGAGAGCAGAAAGCTGAAATCCCTTTCCCACGTAATCACAGAGTATCAGCTATTCTAGGAGAATTTGTGCTTGTTCTGTATCCATCAGTTCCCTTCCCTCCTCTCCAAATTTCTATCTGGGTATGAGCAATCCTTCCTGTCCAAATCACTACAGTTTTTTTACAGAACATGTAGGTGTAAATAATTAGCTTTTTCCAACAGCAGTTTCAGCAGGACATGTCTCACTGGCCCTGGAGGTGCAGTAGCTCTTCTCCTTACCATGGCTGCTGCTGAGCAGTTGTGTGTTGGTTTTACATGTCTTAGTTTTTGGTGGGAAGTGATTTTCTGTGAGAAGCTTCTGGAAGCTTCCTCCGTGCCTGGCAAAGCCAGTCCTTGGCTGGCTCTGAGAACAGACATGCTGCTAAGCCAATTATAGAATTTGGTAACGCCTCTGTAATGACGTATTTAAGAAGGAACTCAAAACCGTGTGCAGTTCTTCTGAGGGGTGGGGAGGCACGGCGGCCGGAGCCATCCTGGCACTGCGAGTGTCCATGTGGCCGGTGTGACTGTGTGGCCAGCGAGCCTTGCCTGTCGTGCCACCCTCAGCCAGGTGTGCTGCAGGCAGAAGGACAGGGGTGGCGGCAGCAGCTTCTCTCTTTCCTGCACGCTGCATGGGGAGAGATGTAGAATGGTGCCAGTGCTGTGGCTGGCGGGGCCACATGGCCTGTGGTAGAAACATGGCAAGTGACTCCTCAGCATGGATCCAGATGAGAACAACCTTTCAGCACTGTGAAACCCTACAAGGACTTTTCAATTGACAGAACTTGAGAATAGTACCTATGGACGACAATTTTCTTCCAAGCCAGAGAATGGGAAGAGGTAAAGTCACATGAGGAGAGCCAACATGGCGGCACGGAGGTCAGTAAAGAAAGAGGGAGAAGAGGGATCCAAGTGCCAAAGCTGAAATTTTCTTCTGCAAACTGTGCTAAAAGACTATAGTTAAATAAGCTGTCCCCTTCGCAGCTCATCAGATCCCCAAAAGACATGCAGAGGTCCAAAAGGATGCCAAAAGGAGCTATAAAAACCTGTACTCAGGTGGACAAGTAACTCACAGGCAATAGTTTCAGGAAGCCTGTTTTGCCCATGAGCCTGTTCATGTTTGCAGAAGACTGGGTGGGGCTGCTGCTCATGAGAAGAGAACCAAGCTGGAGAAGTTCAGAGAGAACTATCTCCCATAGGGGAACCTCACAGTACAACAGAAGAAAGACTTTTTCCCTAAACAAACAGAAGAAAATTCAAAGTAATGAACTGACTAAAACTCCTGTGTTTTGTCTTCCTGAGCTGTCAATGGGAAAGAGGGAGGGGCTGGGAAAAAAAAGTGTTCTAGAAGTTTCTTTTAGTTCTTATTACCCTCTTTTAAATCTCTTAATAATGCATTTTTCTTTATACCTTTTAAATATGACCCTTGGTGTTTTTTTTCCTGATCCTTATCTCAACCCATGAACCCTTTGGGCTTTTTCCCTTCCTCTGCTCAACTATAGCATGAATGAACAGTTTTTGTAGATGCCTGGTCTTTCAACCATTTCAAACCATGACAAGTTGTAACATACTGCTGAAGGGATTTTCCGAGATGTCTTTCACTAGTGGCCAACTCAGAGCAAAACTCACTGTGAAATCCTGGCCTGAACATAGCCCAGTATAGTTCCATGTATGTTTCTTTTCACCACAGCAAATGACAGCGCAGGCAAAATGAACTCCACCTCCATCACTTGGAGGTTGCTTTGAGTAAGTCAGCGCTTTGCAGAGACTTCCACTTTTTTGATTGTGCTCTCCCTCTCTCACCTCTCTGTTTCTGACAAACAAAAACTGTGAGGTGTCTGTATGAGTTGGCAGGCTGCCTAGCTGCCCTTGTCAAAATGGCTTGGTAAATTTGACCTGAGTACTGAATGTTTACACAAGGATTGCTTCAACTTAATGAGCTGCTTGATACTCAGGGCATATAATTTCTGTGCACTGAGAGCTTAAATAAAGGGCCACATTCTGAATTTTGAAAACAGTAAATCACCAAGAGAACCAACACGTAACACTTGAACATATACAAGATTGGAACATTGGCATTCATGATGAATAAAACCCATGTGATTTTAAAGATAAATGAGCAAAAGGGAGGTGAACAGCGCTGAGGAACAGCCTTGTGCCATGGGCTGATGTACTGCAAGATCTTGCTTGCTCAGGAAGTACTGTGATTCCTGGTCTCAGCTTAACTTTTAGTGAAATACAGTAAACTGTATTCACTTGGTCCTGCACTGAGGCAGACTGGCCTAGCACATCACAAATATTTTTTTACCAAACTTGCAGCAATTCACTGGATTCCCCCCATGTTTTGCTCACAAAAGCAGCATATTGTAACTCATGAATCAGTCTTTCAGTCCCAAATACCATGACATTCATAAAACTCTGACAAGAAGTCTTTGAGAGTGAAAACATGCCCCTGATGCCTCTCCCTTGATCACCTTTTCTTTCCTTCTCATTCCTAGGTTCTCAGTCCAATCTGATCTGATAAATTTAGGGAGCTGGGATGTATTCCTGGGACTTTTGCTCCAGGCACAGGCGCAAAGAGCAAACCAGCACAGCACAGGGGACCTCAACTTAGTTTTTGCCTTCTTTGCTTTAACACATCCCTCAAACAGTGCAAAAAACTCGCTTGCCATCCTGGCAGCTACCACTGATACAGAACTCAGCTCCAGAACTGCTCCTGGCCCTGATGTCTGCTGGGCAGGAATCCCTTGGGTGAGGAGGGGACAACAGAGTGGAGCTTGGCCTCTGCCCTGCTGCCCAGACCAGGACACAAGGTACTACAGGAGCATTAAGCCCCACATCACCATTACCCTGGCATGGCTGGGTCTCAAACAGGCACAGGACAGCAGAGTTGCTGAGGGCCTCCAGGCCAGATATCACATACCCTAAGCCTGGCAAGTGGGGAAAAGCTTCTCACCGATAAACATGCCTACGATCAACTACTTAGGACAGCTTGTTGCCAACTGCACAGACCATCCAGATTTTTGAGCTACAGTATAGTTTGTCAAGCTAACATATAAAGCTGGTCTGCCTTTCTGCATGGGGGGAAAAAGAATGTGCACTATGAACGGTTCCTGCTGCAATGCCAAGAATTATACCAAAGAAAAGAAACCTGCTCAAAGGAGTCTGCAAACCATTTTAACCAGGAACCAAATAGGGTGGGTTTTTTTCTTAATGGAGTGTTATATTACATTAGCAAAAGTAATGTGACATCATGAATGTGTAAGTGATGCAAGTGAAAAGCCTAATATAACAGTATTTTCAGAATGGGGGTGGGGGAGGGGGAGAGGAAAAGGGGAAGGGAGCAGCAGAAATTTTTGAAGCAGTCTTGGAAATGTTAAATAGAACATATTTGTAGCTATTAATTTGTAACCTTTTAAATCTCATTTTTTCTGGAATATATATATTCCTACAACTACGTGACACAGAAAAACACAAAATAGCCTTAAGGATATCTATATACAGCTTTCACCAGAAAATTGCCTGGGAACAGGGGCATTAAATTTGCAACCTGCCAAAGTGGTCCACTCCACTTATAACTGGCAGCTGGATAAGTCGCTTTCAAGGTAAGATCTGTTCCTAGCCGCCACCTTTCCAGGGGAAGGGCAAGGAGGATGAGGCTCATCAGCTGCCATGGTAGCAGCACGACCCTGGAAACCTAGTGGTACATCCCACTAGCCATAAACTCAACTGGTGCACATAAACTTCTGGTGCACATTGTAGGTGTGTGCACCAGAAGCCAGAAGGGAACATGTGAACCCTAAGTACTTGGAGATTGCAGAGCCACAGAAGCTACAGCAGCCAGTGCTCAGCACACAAGGCAGGCTGCAAACACTGGCTCCAAGGCCACACCACTGCTGCCCAGGCAGAAGGCTGCCTGACTCCTTGTGTTTCAGAGCACCCACCAGTGGAGGAAAGGCCAACTACCACAGCAGGTTTTCATCTTATGGCAGAGTTAGGCAGCCAGGGCTCCCTTTGCACAGAGCACAACAGCACATGCCGGGACTCAATCGTTAGGTATCTTCTCTAAGGAGACAATCACACCTCAATGCCATCTTTCTCCCCTAGCAAAACAGCTTTGACTATTTCAGATGAAGAGAGTTTCTCAAATTGACCCCACCCTGGAAAGCATTCACCTCCCAGCTTCAGAACTCAGGCACACAAAACATGCTAGAATAAACTAATGGGCAAGCCTGAGTTACCAGGCCAGGGATGACACTGCCCACATAAAGGAGTCTGGGCTTGAATTCACCTTGGATAGAAAGTGAAATAAGGAAGTGTATGGCTCTGCAAGGTCACTGCTTGCCTGGTATGGTGTGCATGACTGCAGGCAATGTTTGCTGTCACCTCCAGCCCTGTTGTCCTCTGCCATCAAGTGAATGAAGTTCCATAAGCATTGGTTTACCAAAATTTCAGATTAGCCCAATCACACGGCCCAAAGCTCACATTTAGTAAGATCAGCAAATGTGTGCCTCCACATTCCCTTTCCCAAAAGCAGTTGTGTTGAAAGAAAGGAATGGTACTGAAGAGGTGTGATAAAAATTTAAAATCTGATCTCATGAATATGCTAAGATGCTTCAATTTCTTGTCCTAGCAGTCAGCAGCATTTTTTGTTGTTGTTTTTTTTAACAGACAAGACAAAACTTTTCTTCTACAAGGAAATAAGAAAAACACTCAAAAAAATCAATGTATATAGCACAAAAAACTCTACCAAAAGTCCACGAAAAATGCAGAATTTTAATCTTGGAATAACAATCCTTTTTACAAAGAGATTTTATAGGCTGAGTGTATGCATTCACAAAAGCGACAAACTAAGGCATATTCTCCATAGCCGTGTTTGTAAAAGAAAAGCTCTGGAAAGCTACATGACATGATCTCACATAAATCTTGTCAAGATACAGGCAGTATGAATTTTAAACATTTAAATTACTTTTGCATGTAATGGACTGTCAGTTTATACACTTATGAGTATGAGCTAAATTAATTTCAAATCACTGCAACAAATACTCTAGTAAGAGCATGAAGCTTAAACAGTATTTTAAAGTGCTCATTAGAAACCCATTTCAATTAAGAAATGTTAAAGATTTTACATTCCTTACATATCAAGTCCAAAGGTACAATATGTACACAGTCTACCATCTTGTCTTTACAAATAGGAAGTAATTTATCTGTGAATCTCAAACATGACTAGTAGCCAAAGTGAAGCTGAAAGACCATCTCGATCTGGCCAGAAAAACAACAAAATATCCCCCCCAGAACAGTTATCCCACACATACTGCTATCAGAATTCTATATCTGAAGCACTGCCACTTTGTCCAATCTCCTTGTCTAATTTTCTTTACACCTACTCATGAAGCATCTGCCAGTACTTTGCCAGTAAAAAATTACAGCATCTCTCTTGTAACAGAATCGCTTGGGTCTCTAGAACTGGGAAGGCTTCTGTTAAAGACAAAATGTAACTGAACAGAATAAATACGCCCTGCAATATACCACAGTTTGCAAAGAGAAAAGAGCTCTTAACTAAATAGCCCATCATATAACAAAAATTTTGACAGCTGTTAGTTAATTTTTGGATCAACTGTAGTGCTTATTAAAAAAAAGATGAAACTAATTAAGAGGCATTTGTGACACATTTAAAAGCCTACATCAGCTTTCTTATACAGCCCTAACCTGTCCCTTTCAATCCATAGATGCAGTTAATTTGCTAGTTAAGTCTTGTCCTGACAGCAACTAATCAAACATTTCCATTCACTACAAGTTTTCTGTGATTTTGACTTAACAATTTTGCAGCATGTGGTTATTACTCTGTGCACAGGTTAAGCCTGTTTCACAAAGGACTAATTCGAGGTACTGTGAAATGTTAGCACTGTGCATCATTTTAATCCCCATAGCGCACATGCTTTTCAATAATCCCCTTCAAAGTACATGACAAATTTTCAAAGCTACAAACAACCATAAAACACAAATCCCAAATTCATTAAAGCACAATAAAAATATTTACGTTCCTGTCATTGATTTCATGTCTCAGCTGCCATGAATGGCAACATTTTGTCTTTTCAGACTTTGCAACTGGACTTTGTCCTTTTTAGACAAAGAGCATACCCACTCACATACAGTAACATGATTACAGTAAAATCAAAACCCACAAAATGAAATAACAGTGAACATTCCATAAGTAGATTCTTAACTTTAGGTAAACATTTCTGCTAAGCTAAAGGCAAAAATAGGCTGTACAAAATCATGTTAACATCTGCAGTAATAAGCTTTATTTAGCTTAGCTTAGCTTCAGCGTAGTGTGTGGCCAGCCTGATCTATGCAATTTCTTAAAAGAACAAGTAGACAGAAGATTGTAAAGATGTAGTTCTTCTCTACTTGTACCCATTAGCAGATTCTTCCCTTGCAAAACATTCATGTGTAAAAAAGATCTACTGTGGCACTCAGCTGAGTTACAAAACACGCATTTATGGGCAACAGGAGATGTCAAGGTGATAAACGACTCATTGGACTGCTTTCTTCTCCTCCTGCAGCAAGCTTGAGCGTTGTGAGCTTACGAGGGGGATGCTGAGGACTCTTGCGAAGGTTGTCGTCCATCTGCAGAGAAACAATGAGAGCCGGATCTGGCAACAGCAGAATATAGATTGTACAATTAGTCTTATTTGTCAGCATTAATACTGGGTTGGTTGGTGTATGTTTACTGTCAGGACCAGCAGCAACTGCTGCTTTGGTTTCTTTCCACTCCCAAATATATGTTTGTGTTAGAGCTGCTAATCATTCCCTTACATATGATGCATCAAACCCAGGGCACCTGCATGTGCTTCTGCTCAAGTTATCTGGTCAAGATTACTGAAGGAAGCAACACCAATTCTAAGAGGTCAAATATTGTACAATAACCAAATGCTGAGAAGGCAGATCAAGAGTCAAGCTGCTAACAACGGATGCTTCTGTATATTCAGCAGCACTCAAGAATAAATCTTTTGAAATCAGAAATGTTCTGGAGATGCCGAATGAATTTGTATTTAGTTACATTTCAAAAAGTACGGAATAAAGCACTTGTGATAAGACCTTTTCAAAGACAGGTTAAAATTAATCTCTGGATATAAACAATTTATATTTTCATAGGAAGTCACTCTAATGCCCTATGTGTAATGTGGTCTGAAAAGGTTTAGTTGGTACAGAATAAAAGCACAGGGGAGATCTGCCGAGGCTGTCTAGTCTACTCCATTCCTTCAAGTCAGGATCAGATTTTCCTTAGTCATGACTGACAAATGTCTGCATAACCCATTGTTTAAAACTTCCACAGCCACACTTCAATGACAGAAAAAGCATCAATACCTAATGCTACAAAAGCTGATGATAGTTAATGATCTATTTCACATACTGATCTTTCTCAGAAGAAATGCCTTCTACCCTTTCAGTTAGAGTGTTCTATCTGCATGAAAAGGCTAACTCTTCACAAGGTTTTTTCAGTTAAGTTGTATAGTTTTTGATAGGTGCTGAGTGACAGCCTTAGAAACAGAGAACATAAGAAAAAACAGCTAGATGTAGAACATAAGAAAAAACAGGTAGATGTAGAACAAACAGGAGAAGAGAGACTGCTGGGTAGTTACTACAGCATGCAGCTGGGAGCAAGAAAAGCTGGTGATCAGTCTTAATTTGCAGGACCATTTCTGAGTTTTGACCAATACATTTTCCTCCTTAGCTGAATGTACACTTGCAGAAAGATACCACTCCTCTGTTGGTGTGCACACCTGCAAGACAACGTTCTTTTGGTTGTATTAAAAATACTTTTTAGTGCAAGGCTTCATTAATTCCTCCTTCCAAATGATGTAATATTCTTCCCGCCTCTCTACACACTCACTAGAAAAGAAGTAATTAAAATAAAGTCCACTGTACAGCTGCAATTGCCATGCAAGGATATCTGTGAACAAGTAACCACAACAAAGCAGTAAAATTAAAGATACTGAAGCAAAAGTAACCTTTTCAATCAAGTTGGATTCCTTATTTACAAGCTGTGTGAGTTTCTGCAGATTAGCATCTGCTGTATCCTGTCCAGCTGGAGAATGGCCTGGAGAGTGAAGGCAGAAAGATGAAGAGTGAAAAAGTATTTACAGAAGCTTTTAAATTCTTAAAAAATAAAGTCACATTGAAGAGAATTCATGCAGTATTTTAATGCAAAGAAGAATTTAAGTGTAAAAGCCATTCCATGTGAG